ATACTACCACACTGGGAACTGAGGTTTCAATGTATGAATTTGGTGGTGGGCAGGGGGATGAAAACATGCAATCCAGAGCAGCGAACCTTTTAACAGGTAACTTGATCATATCTTATCTTTATTCTACATAAAATCTTGAATCGGCTCCCTATTTTCTCCAGAATAAAGCTAATATTTTTACAATATCACCCAAAGCCTTCCATGACCTGGGACCTCGTACCTCTCTGACTTAATCTCCAATTTCTCTACCACTTGCTGTCCCCACTACAGACAGTTGGCCTTTTTGCTGTTCTTTGAACACATGCTCTGCTTGTACCACAGGGCCTTTGCACTGCCTGCTCCCCGTGTATATCCATATATTGAAGTCTAACAAGCTCATCTCCTACAAGGGTTTGCTTAAGCCACTTTCTTAATGATCCTAACCATTCTGTTCAAAATTATAATGCACCTCACCTCTTGCAATCCCAATCTTCCTTATATTTTTACTCTTATTTTTGCCCTAGTACGTAATACCTACCAATAGACTATTTTTTTTATTATCTGTCTTACATCTTTAGAATGTAATCTTCACATTAAAAGTAAAGGGTGCAGACCTTTATTTTATACACTATTGTATTCCAAGTGTCTGGAATCGTGTCTGGTACACAAGGGGTATTCAAGTTATATATTTTCTAAACAACTGAAATCTCTGAGGCCAATTGCTCTTAAGATATCTGTATATCCTCTTACAGTTCTGATTTTCTATGTTTATATTTGGCTATTCAGCTTCCTATCGGACTGAAATTTGTCATTATAAACTGAGATTTGATTTATTTACCCACTTTCAATAAAATATGTTTAGCTCTTTCAAGTACTGTAAGTGCAATTTTAAAAAATCTCTAGATAAATAACAACATGTTTTATAATTGTATAAATCACTAAGGTCCTAGATTCCTTAGGGAAATTTAACTTGTCAGGTAGTTTATGGTTTATCCCGTATGTGGTATTAAGTGCAAAAGAAGTTGCTAAATGCATAATTTAGTACAATTTTGCTTCTGTTGAAAGACAAATCAAAAATAATCAGCTCACTGAAGTCAACAAGTAAAAGCAGGAAAGAAATTAAAAAATTCTAGCAAAGTACTAAAATCTTTTAGAGCATAAGTTTAGTCTTGTTTTGTTTTTCCTTTTGAGGGATGATTTTATGTTTTATTGAAATAACATCTACACCCTCAAGTATTCAATGTGGCTTAGAATCGACTTATTTTCTTTTTGTGTTTTTTAACTAACTCATAGATAATTTTCCCTTTTTAGGTACTTCATTACCTTGAACCACGTCAATCCTAGAGATGGTATATGCTTAAGGACCAATGCTAAATTAGAGGCCGTAAATAATGCCTGGACACCAACGCAGTCAAAGACTGGCTACTGAGCACTGCTGAGAAAGAGACCAGCGGTGAGTAAGGTAAACATAAAGTCAGATTCTGGATCAAGACAGGACCAGGAACCACGATACCAGAAAAATGTCTGAAACCTAACTGAAAGGTGTGTAATATGATGGAGAATGTTATTCACCATAAATAATCCAAGAAGATTTGCTCCAGGAAAAGCAAAGTGAAAGAATTACATTCTCGGTGGGCTCCTCTGTTCTTCTATCAGCAGGGAGTGAGGGGCACAGACAAGAAACACAAAGATGATGGGTCCTCTAGCCACCCTGGAGTTACCTTCTGTAGCTGTTGGGCACCACTGATGACCCAATGGCAACATCCCATGGAAAAGGAAGAAGAGGTTCTGTTCCTGTGGCTCAAGTGGCTAAGGCACCAGCCACATACACCTAAGGTGGTGGGTTCGAATCCAGCCTGGGCCCGCCAAACAACAATAATGGCTACAACCAAAAAATAGCCGGGCGTTGTGGTGGGCACCTGTAATCCCAGCTACTTGGGAGGCAGAGGCAGGAGAATAGCTTAAGCCCAGAAGTTGGAG